GGAGAATAAAAAACATTGAACACGAAAAAACAAAAACGGAATACGGAGACCCAAGCGAGAAAAAGTACCTGGTGGTCGTTAACCGAACCCATCCTGACTGCCTGGTTGCTAAATCAGCAATCAAACATTTCTCTATTCAGTGGAAGAAGTTTCTGCTGGTAAAGGACGATTGGAGGGCAGCTAACTTCAGCCACAGGTGATGTCTTTAAATGAGGTTCTGGAAAGCAAAAGCTGCTTGAAGGTTTTGTAAAAGAAATGTTCAGAGGTGTTTTGATTCGTCTGCGGCTATTTTGGCTGCTGATTTGAGTCAGACTGGCAGGACCTCTAAACATGGCTGTTCCTCTACATTAACTTCATAAACCTTGAACCTCTATAGACTTGGAAACAGAGAAAAAAAAAACTGTGCTGTAGCTCTGAATTTAAGCTGCAAAATGTTTTCTAATCAAAACCAAATCAAAGGAAATAAAGCATGAAAGAACCAGACCCTAAAGACCCAGAGGAAGCTAAAATAATCAGGCTTCTCCTGTTTCAATTACTGGTTTTTGCTCCTAAGAAAGCAGAGAGAAGGTGTGAGATTAAACAGTGTTGATTAAAAAAAACAACAACAACTGGAAACCAAAGAGAAAAGGTGGAGAGTGCAACTGGGTGCTCTCTTCGTCCTCTGACATGGGAGCTGGCTCGGAGCTCGTCTGCCTGGCTGTGTGTTTCCTGGACGCGGCCGCCTTTTACAGCTGCTTTTTGTGTCTCTGCTTCTGTCTACTTGAACCCCAGTCGGCCTCAGCAGATGGCCGCTCACACTGAACCTGGTTATGCTGGAGGTTTCTTCCTGTTAAAAGGGAGTTTTTCCTCTCCACTGTCGCTACAAGCATGCTTAGTGTGAGGGATTGTATTTGAATCAATGAGTCGATGCAATCAACTGGTTTTCCTTAGATAGAAAACTTTGTATCAATTTGACTGTATGATCTGGTTGAACTGTAAAGTGCCTTGAGATGACATGTGTTGTGAATTTGGTGCTAAATAAATAAACTGAATTGAATTGAACAGGGTCCAACCATCAGAGTTGAGCCAGCAAGGTTCAGTACGCAGTGTTTACACGGACACATCCTGAGACATGTGAAAGCTCAGCATGACCTGAGCTTCCCCCACTGCTGCTTTATCAAAACCAGGCAAGAGAAACTCCCAGTTAAGCCTGGGCCTTAGCATGTGTGGGAGCTGAAAGAGTTAAAACACAGCTGATCTAAAAGCTGGAACTCTGCAGGGGGAGGGGGGTTATGAATCAAGAGGGAAGAAAATGAAGGGAGGGGGAAGAGATGAGGCCATTGTTGTTATGAACCCGACCCCCGCCGGACTTTGAGGGTCTGGGCGTGCAGAGGGGAGGGGATGGAGGGTGTGGGAGAGTTTGCTGATGGAGAGTAAGGGACACTTCAACCACCACTGACAGATTTCCTTCAGGCCTGCTCCCGCACTCAGCAAGAGCTCAGAGCTGCTGCTAAAGCTGCCTGATAGCAGCAAACTCTAACACCATCAGCTCTCTGAAGTGGTCGTTTGGAGGGTATGATGAACTCCATCTATTGCTTAGTGTCTGTTGCGGTGAGCCTGTCCAGATGCTCAGATGACTCACAGATGTACCCAACTGACCAATGAGACCGGAAGACAGAAGAGGTTGCTGCTTTTATCGCTGATTAGCGATGTCTGCCAACCCCTCCCTCAGACTAATGCTGAGATGGATGGACACAGGACACTGTCTCCAAGCAACCAAAATTGATTCTCTTAGATGGATCCCTGGTGGAGTGTCCTGTTAACTCTTTAGGTGTTCCACCCTCAGACGTACCGCCAACACTCAGCCTCTACACTTTCAGAGGGATTCATCCCAACTCAATCTTTACGTTTTCCCGCTAAAGCCTAAAACTTTAATACATTCATTAAGCGTTTAATTCAGCTGAAACAGGTGGAAGGAAATGGTGGTGAAGATATGCTCATCGTTTTATTTGCTATTAAAAAAAGTGTTTTTCCTCCACAAATACTCCTCCATAAACAGCATTTCAGCCGCCTGATCTCACTCAGATGCTAAGTGTGATCAGATGGAAACTTTCCATCTGAAAATGAGAGCATATGGCATCCAGCTGAAACAACATAGCCCCCTGGCCTGTAAGCAACAGGAAAGTGATCTTGAAGGAGCTGCAGAGGTCCACGGCTCAGGTGGGAAAATCTGTTGACATCATTGAGAACTTCTGAGGTGAATCCCAAACAAAGTCATTGTTTAAAAGTTGGCTTCAAACCAATCAGTGGAGAAAATTCCTCCAGTCAACTGATCCTTCTGGTCTCTGTGTTAAACCATGCACATTTTTCTATAGTTGTGTTCTTTTATTGGGGACAAAGAAAGTGTTCAAAGTTGACAGCTGAGGTTTAATAAAGAGTTAGAAGATTTGGATTAGGACAGAGTTTGGGGTTTTAGCATCCAGAGTTCCGGTTAGTAAAAACTTAGAGTTGAAGCTCAGCTGGAGAAGTGTCTTCTGAGCTCAGACCCAAGAGCAACAGTCTGCAGCTCTCTAAGCAGGAAGTGAATTTACAGAAGCAACAAAAGGCTGAAAGGTGACCCCCCCCAGCAGCTGAGAACAAAACCCGGCTCACATAGACCACTCCCTCCTGCTCTCTTCTTCCCACCCCTCATTATTTCTACAGAAAGGAAGTCAACACCCCCCCCTTCCACCACTACCCCCCCCCCCCCCCCCCCGGCTGCTCCCCCCTCATTTGTTTATGATAGTCTGACACTCCCCAACCCCCCATACTCCTTCCTATTATAAGCTTTCCTACGTTTCCTGTCTAGTTTCACCCAACCAGAATATCTAACAGCAGCCGTTCAGAGAAATAAAAAGCCATTCCACATTGATTTTATATTTTAAAAGACCCCTGATGCAACCAGTTCCTTAGAAAGACTTCATCCTGTCTTTGTTCTTGTGAGATGTAGAAAGAAGCAAGATGCAGCTCAATAGACAGAATTAAAGGTGTAAGTGAAAGGCCATGGGGGATAACAGCTTTTTGTGCACACCTTCTGTTTCTTATGGAGAGGATTAAACTGTGATGACAAGAGCAAAGGCGTCTAAGCCCAGCATGGAGAGTTGACCTAAGCAGCTATGGGCAACATTTAAAGACAAGATGATTGAGAAAAGCTGGAAAATGAGATGGACCCTGCTTATGGGTAGAAGATCAAAAATAGCAGGCCATCCATCCATCCATCCATCCATCATCCATCCATCCATCCATATATCATCCATCCATCCATCCATCATCTATCCATCATCCATCCATTCATCCATCCATCATCTATCTATCATTCATCCATCCATCATCTATCTATCATCTATCCATCATCCATCCATCCATCATCTATCCATCCATCCATCCATCATCTATCTATCCATCCATCCATCATCCATCCATCTATCCATCATCCATCCATCCATCCATCATCCATCCATCCATCATCCATCCATCCATCATCCATCCATCCATCCATCTATCCATCATCCATCCATCCATCCATCCATCTATCATCCATCCAACCATCCATCCATCATCTATCATCCATCCATCCATCCATCATCTATCTATCATTCATCCATCCATCATATATCTATCATCCATCCATCCATCATCTATCTATCATCCATCCATCATCCATCCATCCATCATCCATCCATCATCTATCTATCATCCATCAATCCATCCATCATCTATCTATCAATCACCCATCCATCCATCCACCCATCCATCATCTATCTATCTATCTATCATCCATCCATCATCCATCCAACATCCATCCATCATCTAACTATCATTCATCCATCCATCCATCATCCATCCATCATCCATCCATCATCTAACTATCATTCATCCATCCATCCATCCATCCATCCATCATTTATCTATCATCCATCCATCCATCCATCCATCCATCATCCATCCATCATCTATCTATCATCCATCCACCATTCATCCATCCATTCATCATCCATCCATCCATCATCTAGCCATCATCCATCCATCCATCCATCATCTATCTATCATCCATCCATCATCCATCCATCATCCATCATCTATCTATCATCCATCAATCCATCCATCATCTATCTATCATCCATCCATCCATCTATCCATCCATCCATCCATCCATCATCTATCTATCTATCATCCATCCATCCATCCATCTATCCATCCATCCATCCCTCATCTATCTATCATCCATCCATCCATCCATCCATCCATCCATCCATCTATCCATCCATCCATCATCCATCCATCTATCCATACATCCATCCCTCATCTATCTATCATCCATCCATCCATCCATCCATCTATCCATCCATCCATCATCTATCATCCATCCATCCATCCATCCATCCATCATCTATCTATCATCCATCCATCCATCCATCATCTATCTATCATCCATCAATCCATCCATCATCTATCTATTATCCATCCATCCATCATCCATCCATCCATCCATCCATCCATCCATCCATCCATCCCTATCCATCCTAACCCTAACCGATCCAACGGGAATCAATGGGAACTACTAGACACATCTACAATCAACATTAATTATAACAACTATTATTAAGTAATACTGCCAACGTGGCAGTTGGATGTTGTAATACATCGGGCAAAAGGTGAATAAAAAAAAAAAAAAAAAAGAGTTATTCCACCTTTCTGATTCCTGATCCTCCACGGACGGGTTCATCGTTGGATCGCCAACTTGAAGAGGGAGGATTTGCCATTGAACTTCTGGCCAGAGAAAAAACACGAAATATGTAGCAAACATTTGGAAGAAGAATGTTTTCAAGATGACTTGGATAATAGCGCGTTGTGACAAACACCAGATACAGCACTGGGACTTGATCAACAGCCGATACCGCACCGTGACGTCACAAACCAGTAGGTGGCAGTAGTGTTCTGCCACCTATGGTTGCCTCCAGTAAAGCACATTCAGATGAAAATGACTCTTAATTAAAACACTTATCATTTATTGAACAGTATGGGATAATTTTGTATTTAAAGTACTTTCAGAGGTTTGAATTCTGACAATGACCGGACTTTTGCTTTAAAACCAGGCAGAGACAAATTTAGCTCTTATTGCTGTTGACAGAGTTCACAACTTCCTGCCAGTCATTACCTTTTTTAGCACAACTATGAGTTCTAATTAAACCAAGAGCTCCACTGTTTTTCTAGTTTCTAGAGCAGTAGTTTCTAGAATAGTTAAAAAGGATTTAGGCTACTTTGGGTATGTCAAGTCAACATATCCAAAGCTGGTTTTAAAAATTCTCACTTTGGAAAGAATTTCTAAAAATCTTTTTTTCTGACCAAAGAATCTAGAAGACATGTTGATGTGATCGGATAATCCAATCAAATGATGTGACCAAAAAAGCAAGACTTCAAGGAAAGACTCTTGGTCTACAACTGCCAACATTTTTTTAAACTCAGGGGTTTGTTTAAATCAGAGCTAGCTATGTCCAGTTAAACCCCATCAGCATGACTTTTATCTACTATACTATGATGACAGAATTGATCAACAGCCGTGCTTGAGGGCTGGTTCTCTGTCTACACCTCTGGTAACACTTTGTGAGATGATATAAGCAGATTTTGTGATATCCGCAAAAACTAAGACTACTGCTAAGATTAGGGGAAGGGCCTTGCAAAGAGTTGAATAGAAAAGCTTTCCTGGTTAAGAAGTGAAAACAACATGAAGCGTCACAAAGAAGGAACCAAAACAAAACAAAATGTGCAAAGTTTTCTCTTATAAATAGACTACTGTTAATGTATCATAGAGCACCATGGGAGATGGGAGGTGGTTAAGGTGTTGTGTCAGTGTCTTTAAATGTAAGACATAATTTACGTCAGTACTGCATCAGCATGGATCTACCATCACATTTACTAAGAGCTGCAGGAACCACAGAGGACAGCTGGATCAACAGAAAGAGCTCTGGGTTAGAGGAGGGGAGGTCTGGTATTCAGTGCTTCCTTGAGCCAAATGTCAGACCCAGTCCTGAAGGGAGCGCTTACAATGCACCAGCAACCGAGGTGTTCCTTTGCTCTGTAGCGTATTAATAATGGCATAAATCAGACCAAGGATGCACATCACCAAGACCAGAGGGATGGTCACCATCAGAATGTTCATGGTTCGTAGCTCACTGTTGTCCACCTTCAGCACAACATCTACTTCATTGGTGTCTTCTTCCCGACCCTCAACATAGTCTTCATTCTTGTCTCTGTCTGAGCCTTTTCCCTTGTCAGAGTCGGTTCCTTCACGGCCTGCTCCCTCCCGTTCTTTGCCCTTGTCGCCATCACGTCCTGGGTCTGGGTTGAATGGTGGTCGGTTCGGGTCTGGGTATTTGCGCCCGGAGTCTGTGTCTTTGTCAGGATCCAGGTCCACACTACAGCCCATGAAGTCTCTGAGGATGGACTTTGGATAGCCCGGTTCACTCTTCATACGTTGGTTATCAAACTTCCAGTACTTGGAGCCCTTATAGAAGAGGGTGTATGCTGAAACAGGCAAAAACCATGGAAATATCAGTGCACAATTTTCACTTTTAGCACGAACAAGAAAGCAACAAAAGAAGCATCAGCTTATGTTCACAATGCTAAAGACTCTTTCCTGAAGACATATAGAGGGGGTAACAAGGGGCGATTAGCCACTCACGACCAATCAGGAATTGTAAGGTCGGTAGAAAATCAAACATATTTGAAATTTAGTTGGCCGTTGCGAGGTATTCATGGACAAGTCCTGCTGTTGAGCTACAAGCTGATTTACCAGAACCTCATGCACTGCGCGTGGGCAAACAACTGAGTTCTTCTTCTTCCAGATTGACAAGTCTGACCAGCGCCATCTCTCAGCGCTGAGTCCGACTTGTGGTTTGCACAGAGTGAGAATATACATTGTGAGCTGTGAACTTTTAAACACTGCGGTTTCGTCTCACAGTTTGAGCTGTAGCTGCGTGCAATGTTTGAAAATATCACACAGCGTACAGTGGGCACTGGTTGGAAATGGACGGTTTCCTGCGTGATTCCTGCGTGAATCACAATGTATTTCCTGAGGCCAGTTTTTTTTATTTAAAAAATAACTGCAATGTACCCACACAACCACCAGGTGGCGCTTGGGAGCTCTGCCGTGCTAAAGGTGATGTTTGTGGGCCTGCAGTCAACTGAAAAGCAGGTTTATTGGGGATCTTGGTGTGATATTGTGCTATTTTATGATGTTTTTGATTAAAATAAAGTTAATGAATTAATTTAACATAGTGACTGCATTATCTGCATCTCTATTATTTAATGAAAAATAAAATTAATTAAGTTAGAGCCGGGGATACGGACTGAGGCGCAACCAGAGAAAGGCGACAGAGACAGTACTGCGGCTGGTGATTTTGAAATTAAAATCATATCCAAAGTTGATTCCTCATTAAGATAAGCCAAAGTTGTTCAAAAAGGTATGTAAGAAAATATATTTTCTTTAGTTTTGTGAAATATAAGTGCCGTTGACAGCTTTGAGGATCAAAAGTTAAGCTAATCTTAAACTGTGTTCATTAAAATCCATCGAGAGTTTGTTTGCTTGGTCTGTAATAAAAAAAAAATAGCCATAGTAAAAAAAATCACAAATTAACAGATTTTATCACTTAAACGTTTAGCCTTGATGGGGTTGCGATACATGTACACATGCACCTTAATCCTATTTATCATGATATACTGTATATACCTGGATATACTGTATATATATTGCTTATTCTTAATGCACCTTTTTCCTCCTTGTTTGCACCTTCTGTAACTTCTATGCTAATATGTGACGAGTGAATTTCTCCGCTGTGAGATCAAAAAAGCTCATCTAATCTAATCTAATCTAATCTAATCTAAATAAATACATGTTCAATAAATAAATAGGCATTCAATTAATTACCCCCCAATATATGGTTAAATGATATGTACTCAAAATAAATCATTTATTTAAAAAATGCTGTTATGTTCCTTTTTTGTAAAATTGCTTTTAAAATGCTTAACTGTTTTTATTCTTTTATTTTCTTTCAAAAAATCACTAGATTTTAAAAACACTCATAGTTTGTGAAAGGTATTATATATATATATAAACTAAAACGCTCGGATCTTTCTGTCATTTTGTGTGCGTGTGTGGCATCTGCAATGTTTTTGTTAAATATTCAAATAAATAAGATGGACTAAACTAGCAGACACGTTTGAATTTTTGCCATTTAAATTCTTTATTTAATTTTAAAAACGAAAGAAATGGAAATGGGGTTTTTTGTCATGATCTTGGCGCTGATGGTTTGGTTTTTTCCTTTGCTCCTTGCTCCCTGTCTAATTGGTTCTGCGGCTGATTATCGCCGATCATTTTCACCTGGTTCCTCTGCTATTTAAGTTGTGTGTTTGCCTCCCATCAGCGCCAGGTTATTTGTGTGTTTTGGTGAGACGTTTCCTAGCTTTCTTTAGTCTCTCTGCTTCCCTGATTATGACCAGTTTTCTGTCCTGTGGATTAGCGGCGTCTGCTGCTCGCTCTCTAGGAAGTCTGGGGGCGTCGCCCGCCGCAACAGTGATCAAAGCTCCGCGAACGGACTGAACTTTGAATCAGGTCAGTGACTAGCTCAAAGTCCCATTCAGCTCCACATCCAGTCTCTGACCTGTATTCTCCTATCCCAGCAGAGATCCGCCCCGCAGCAGACGAGCAGTCCCGCGCACCTGTTTTGATTAATAAACGCTTTGAACTTTCCCACTGCCTGTCTCGCCTTGAATTCTGGGTCCAATATTCTGAGATCATTACAGAATAACCTGGCCGAAACATGGACCCATCGGCAGACGGGCAGTGGCGAAATGATGTGGATCAAAGTATTTCCCGGCTAGAATCAGGCATGCAGGAGATCCTTGATTATGCCCCGCCCGTGACAGCTGCCGCGCCCACGTCTGCTACTGATAGTCCAGCTTCTCTTGAACCGCGTCTGTCCCCTCCTGAAGCGTTTAAAGGGGATCCTGATCAATGCAGAGCCTTCCTGACTCAGTGCGAAATTCATTTTGAATTACAGCCCTCTGCGTTTCCTTCTGATCGAGCCAAGGTGGCCTATGTAATCTCTCTGTTAGCGGGAAAGGCCAAATTATGGGGAACGTCACAGTGGTTGAATAATCCTGAACTTTGCAGCTCTTATAATAATTTTTCTTTGGAAGTAATGAGAGTTTTTTGCCCAGTTCTTCCGAGTAGGGAAGCCTCAAGGGGACTTTTGACTCTCAGACAGGGAGACCGGTCAGTGATGAAGTACATCACTGACTTCTGCTGCTCGCTCTCTAGGAACTCTGGGGGCGTGGCCGCCGCAACTGCGGTCAAACCTTCCTTCTGGATTCTGCTGAGTTGTCCGCGAATGGACTGAACTTTGAATCAGGTCAGTGACTTTGTTCCAAGTCGCATTCAGCTCCACATCCAGTCACTGACCTGTATTCTCCTATCCCTGCAGAGATCCGTCCCGCAGCAGACGAGCAGCCCCGCGCACCTGTTGGTGTTTAATAAACGTTTTGAACTTTCCCACTGCCTGTCTCGCCTCGAATTCTGGGTCCAACATTCTGAGATCATTACATTTTTACAGGTTTGCTTAAAAAAAAGATTTATATAGTAGCCCATAATATAATAGTGAAACATAAAGTCAGGAAAATGTCTCATAGAAAATGTTTTTTATTTGCATTTCAACTTAAATCAATGTATTTCTGATAGCAAATGACATGTATCTCTTGGCCCTGGGAATATTACATGCCAGAAACACGGGGAGCGTGAGTGAAGTGTCCATTTCCAACCATCACCCACTGTATGTCTGGCTTAAGGTTGATACTGATAACATGTGAGGTATCATCATTTGATGTGATTGTAAGATGTATTTAGATGAACCGGGATGTTAATGAGTAGTAAAGGATATAATGAGGAAATTATTAACTATGTTAGTTTCAATAAACAGTGGAATTTGTCCGCTAGCGAGTTGTTAGTACAAAATGCTATTCCTCATAAGGTGCTGTTCCCATAGTGATGAGCCTCAGACCTGACCCTTTGTATATTCAGTTTCATACAAATAGACAACATTAAATTAATCCTGTCTCCTGTCAACACAGGGAAAGAACATCAAGAAGGAAAATTTAAGGTTACACCAATACAAAACCATTCAGCAAAATCCTCTCATGCTCTCTCAGCTCACCCCCATCATCAGTCAGGAAGGCCCCCTTGGGAGAAGCAGGCACTGAAGAATCCCAGATATCGATTGACTTTGGGTAGCCCCTGTCAGCAGACCGTGACGTCTCATCGAAGCGCCAGTATCTGAACATAGCGGGAAAAAGACCATTTCTTTTTCATTTTTTCTTTTGCTAATCAACTGTCTTAACAAGGACGGACTAGAGTTGATACTGGTCGCATTTAGTATTCAATCAGCTCATAATGAACACTATACGTATCAATGTAAGCTGAGATGCAGTTATCTCAAACTGGTCATGGTGGCACTAAAGGAAGAACCAGAAGATTGTCAAAATCAGTTGGAAACATGATCTCCCTACCAAGGAAGGGGATACATTTTATATTGACATTGCTCATAGGCTGCAGACGTTACCTGTCTCCTTGGAAAAAGTAAGTGTAGCCAGACGGTTCCCACCAGATGGCTGTATCTATCCGATCATATGGAATATCTCGCCCATAATCAACCAGCTCCTGAGGGTAGCCTGGTTCAAGGTTTGCCTCCCTGAAGAGCCAGAATCTGTTCGCTGGGAAATAGGGGACAAAAAATATCAGAGAGTTCATTTTTATTAATTAACAAGCACGATCTATATAGCCAATGATAAGACATACATGACAGTCTTTTTTTCATGTGGATGAATCTAGTATTTATGTTACTACTTATGCAAAAACTCAGCTCACTACTGGACAAGCTCAGAGATGCACATGCTCATCCATTTCAACTGCCTGTAATCCGGGACAAGAACCGTCACAAAAACCATGCCTTCACTAATATTTAGTGTTAATGACACGATATTGACATTTTCTAGTATTTTTTCTGGTCCAAAACTTTAATACATATGATTGATGTAATAATTTTAAGGATGCCCGCATAAAACCATTTTAATCAAACACAACCTCTGCCATTCAGAGCACTCTGGTGCTGCTTAGGAGAAAGTAGGAGTGACGTATGCAGGAACAGTGGATTAGTTATGGATAGCTGCTGAAGTTTTAATGGATTCAGATACAGCTATCACTTTGTGGTGCAGCGTTTTGCTTCAACCCTCATAAGGATGGTATCAGAATATTTACGTTTTCTAAGGAACCCTTTCTAAGTGGGTGAAGGTCAAATGAGATTGAGATATGTTGGAGCACTCCATGGTGTCTCTGCTGTGCTTGGAACATTTGGTGAAGGATGTGTTTTTTTATTTTATTTCCACACTGAAAGATTTGCTTGGTTGTTCATGTCAGTAAATGGAGGAGTTTGTAGCTGGACCCAAGGTGCAGTGGCAGAGATGAGTTCTTGCAGATCTATTGCAGCCAATGTAAAAGTCCAAAACTAAACAGCCGAGGAACACAGGAACCAGAACAGAGTTAAGAGGAGGTGTGTGACAGCAGGAACTGATGAAGACATAAAATAATAAAGACCATCCAGAAAAGACAAATATATATATACATATATATATATACATATATATATATATATATATATATATATATATATATATATATATATATATATATATATATATATATGTATGTATATATGTGTATATATATATATATATATATATATATATATATTTGGGAGGAAGGTGACACTGGGGGGCAACGGAGTAACTGTGAAACATAAACTAAAGCTGCAAACAATGAATGGCAAAATAAAACTAGGGCCATTACTCAATATGTGTACTTGTGTGTTCTCATGTGCTTGTGAAACTTCATCAGCTTCAGTGCTAGTACTGTTCCAATTCACCAAAACGCAAGACCGACAATTTCCTATCCTGTCCTTTCTTATAAAAAGGAAGAGACTATCAGGAGGTGAAATGCAGTTTCAGAGCAGCCGAGTATTTGTTGACGTCACGAGTACGCATCTGTTCCAGTTGACCCATATTTATGCTGCGTGCTCCCGTTCTTTCTGAGTCCACACTTTCATATTTTCCTCTCAAGAACATACCTGGCGAGGACACGAGTCTGTACTCGCATTCCTGTGAATTGAGAAATGGCCTAAAGAATGCTGAATATAAGGTAACTGAAAAAAAAACAAACAGGAACAGTAAATCCAAGAAGTCATTAAAAAAAAATATATTTTTTAACAGTAAACACAGAAAGTGAACTAAACAGAACCAAAAATACCAGACCGGCAGATCATAACAGTTTAGAAAAAATTTAAATCAGCCGCTGTCAGCAGCAGTACCTAAGGTGGAGAGAGGGAGACCATTAGGCGGTGTTTGAGCCAGACACCGCCTAATTGTAGTAAGAAATTAAAAAAATATTCAGAAAAGAATTGGAGACTGATGTGGAGCTTAAGTGGTAGATTGCTGCTGTTCCAGATGATGAACCAAAGCTAACTGTTATTAGCTTCCGTAGCACAACCATAGGCTAACTTCAAGGTTATAATGTGGCTCTGCCTTCTGTATTGGATGTTCCATAGGTTTTAACAGAAGATTCAGAGGAATTTATCGTGTTTTTTATTTTTTTATTGAGGTGAGGGGTTCTCTTTATTGTTGTGCTGGAAACATACAGATCTGACAGCCGTGGCTCTGAGAGAAGGGTGAAGTTGCTAGCTATACCTTATGGTAGATGATTTCTCATAACATCGGCGGAGGATTTATTTGAAAATCATGTTCATTTAAAGTATTATATACTAATTTATATTTACAAACTAAAAACTGGTTCTATTATCTGTACCAGAGGTGTAGCAGCTGTGTTTCCCTGCCGTGTGTTTTCTAGCGGTGTTGCTGCTGTCACATTAGCATCACCCTCAGAGTCAGACTCTGTGGGCTGGAGGTTTGCTCTGGATGGTTCTGACCTGAAACCTGTGATGCCTCCATGTCCCGCAGCATCACTTCCCTCTCCTGAGCTTGAACTGGCTGATAGCTTAACCACACAAACCAATTCCAGGCTAGATGTTCTGGAACAATCATCAATCCATCTCCATTGTAGCATGCTGTGGGTTTTTACCAGCTGTAAATCAGAGTTCTGCTGTGGTGCTACTGAATGTAGGATATCAGTTTTAAAATAAGCCCATGCGATTCCTAAAAACTCTCCTAAGTTATGTTCTGCTGCGTGATTTTAATGCAAACTTACATGAAATCAGTATCATGTCATCAAACCTTTAAACATCAGAAAGATGCAATGATCGCTGGCTTTCAGAAAAAAACAACAGCAGCAACTTTGGCATCATTAATGAGGAATTTGGGGTTTGGCTGTAAATTCTAGATTAGAACCTGCTTGTCTTCTGTCAGACTAAAGCTAAATTGATCAACCTCTTTTTAACAGTATGACTGCCAATAATGAAGGGATAGGTTGTACTAAAGCCCCTAGCGCTGCACATTTATGCTCAGAATTTCTTCCAGGTCAGTAATCAGTTCCCAGTACCTCGCCGGTTCCAGATCAGTATTAAAAAAATTTCATGTTTGCTTGATGGCAACTGATGGCTTTAGCTCCTTCTGTATTGTCCTGCTGAGTGACCTCTACTACTGGAGACTCATACAGCATTTCCCGGACTTGTGCCACATCAACACTACCCCTCTGAAACCGATCCATGCTGAGTTCGGACCGAGCTTGGAGTAGTTTACCCTGCTGAGCTTGGTTTTTGCAACCATTTACACATCCCGCTAGCATTGCCCCCTATTCTCCTGAGTGCTGCACGATTTTACACGAGTGAATTAAGTGAATGTGATTGGTCATTTATTAAGGGGGCGTGATTATTGTGGCAGAAGGTTTGCATGCAAGTTTTATTGTGGCCGGTTTGTGGGAAGCATCTTGCTAACCAGTTAGCAACTTAGTGCTAGAAGGGTCCCAATGGGAAATTCCCTTGGGACCAAGTAGCACTAAATTGGTGACTTAGAAACGACACTGTCAAGGAATACTATGGACAGCGGAAACATGCAAGAGGAGGAGAGTTTAGTGTTGGAGGTCGTGGATGAGTCTCCTCCGTCAACCATTTTTTATTTAGAGGTGAAAAGTTGGGACGAAGATGTTGTGGAAGAGGATGCCAGGGCGGCAGAAGCTTGGTTTGGTGTAGAAGGCTTCCAGCCGTACATGTTTAAGCCCTTGCCTCGCAACGCTGCCAGTTCTGTTAGCTCTACGCCTGCTGAAGACACAGACGTCCATTCCCGTGAACACTGGGACGGAACTCAATGGGAAAGGAAATCATTCTGATTTCTGATTTCAACCGTTGCGTATATTAGCTGCGACATATGAATGAAGATGCTATGACCGAAAACATTTTCATTGACAGATGACCGTTGATATATGAATGGCCGAATGTAGGTGTTCAGGCTGACGTAGAACTAACTGGCCTGCAGAAGATAACGAAAAAAAAACCCAAAGGTTTTTCAGACAGGATTTTTTTTTAAAGTAGAAATTTTCTAAATTTGGGACAATATCTTCGGATAAAGAGTACATTTATATACATGTTTAAGCCAGAATGATTTGACATTTAAATATGACTTCCCTGCACTTTTAAACTTCTAAAATATGCGTCATGTAGTATACAGGGTGTAAAGAGGGCCGATGAGCCTCTCAGGACCCCCTCCCAATCAGGAATCGTAAGGTCGGGAAAAAAATCAAACATGTTTGAAATTCAGTCGGCCATTGTGAGGTGTTTATGGACGAATCCTGCTGTTCATGCAGAGTTATGAGAGTTAAGAGCACTGCGCATGTGCAAACAAGGGAGTCCGACATGTGTTTTTTGGCGGTGCAGTGTGAGCAGGTAGATCGCATCAGAGCATCGGGTCGCACAGTGTGAGAACTTGCATCTTGAGCTGTGAACTTTTAAACCCTGCGGTTTCATTGTACAGTTTGAGCTGCAGCTGCGTGCAACGATTGAAAATATTACACAGTGTATACCTGGCTTTAGATGCAAATCAAAGTCATGTATCTCATCTCATAAAGATCACATAAGCATTATGATTCAGAAGACCACTCACTCATCACATGCACAACAAAAGACTCCGACCACCCAGAACAACGGGTGGCTATTTGATTTGCATCTAAAGATCTAAGAGAATAGATCTCCATGCTGCTTAAATATATCAGCGCTCCGATTACATAAAGATCTGGTAGAGCCAACAGAATTGACAGAGACTCCTGGATAGCTGTCAAAACGTCTTTAAAAACCTGAGCCAAAGTCCAGTTTGCCTTTGAAAAAGGCTCCTGGATGGGAAGCGAAGCTAGCCTGACGTAGTCCTACTCAATTCTAGTCAGAATATGAGTCTGATACTGCTCCATAGAGCTGTGATTATGGGGCGTGTTTCGAAAGAACCAGGAAAAAAAATGCCTCTGCAACCAATAAGAGCAACAGAGTGCGTGACGTATGTTAAGCAATGCATAGTTGTTGTCAACAAAAATCAAAGCGTGCAGTTGCACACCTAGAATAAGAAGATGAGCCTTGATCGCGTTTCTCTGTTCCTCTTTTTAAAATTTAATTTGCTGTCGATATCTTCTAGAACAGACCTAATAGCAGAATCTACACACCTCAACTCTCCAGCGGCAGCCATTGTTGTTGTCACCCATGCGTGCTTTGGTGACGTGGTTGATTACGTTACTGTTGATCATCTGTCCATCATCGTATAAAGCCCGCCCTGACAATTTGATTGGCCCGCCAGATATTATGCGATAGAGACTGACATTTTTTCGGGAATCCCACGGATCACGGGATTCCCGTGGGATGGGAGTCAGTATTAGTAACGATCACGTGATTGGGACGGTACAGGATTAAACATTAACGGGAGCAGACGGAAGCGGGAGCAAACCAATAGTAACTTCCGCTCTGAGTTTTTCACCCACGCTCAAAAACAACAAGAATGGGAGTGGTGCAGGAGCGGGAGTCATTCTGAATGGGAGTGGGATGGGAGTGGGAGTAATTTCACCAGGAGTGGGACGGGACAGGATTTTGATTTCTATTCTGGCCCGGGATCGGGACGGGACATAATTTTTTTCTGTGGGAGTGGGACAGGACAGGAGTGAAAATCCACTCCCGTGTCAGTCTCTATTGTGCGAGCATACTCGCGCTACTATTAAGCAATGCCAGACCGAACTTCCCGACCTCAAACGTTGTGGGCGGGACTAAGTTCGGAATGGCACCCAGGCTAAAGCGAAGCGTCTTTAAATTTGGAAACCAAGTCCAGTGGATTGTTTTTTGTTTTTTTTTTACTTTTTTAGGAATGACTATGACCTGGATGACTGAGATTCTTCACCAGCAAACCTGTATGTGATTCACAGTCACAATGTCAGACACCTCCACATATGTTTTCACTGACCTCAATAAAAAAATGAAGTTTGCCCCGCAGGTATTGCAACCCAAAATGGTGTCAAACGGCAAAATAAGATTGACAATACAACTGACATAACTGATGATTAATTTCAATGCAATGGATGGAAAATGTTTTCTCAAATCCAGTAAAATGTTTGCCTTTCAAGTCATCACTAGATTTAGGGCAGCAATTGAAATTTACATAATTCATGGCCCATTTCACATAAACAGAAACATAAGAGGCAGCAAAGTAGAGAAACACTAAACGATCTGATGTAGTTGAGGAACAGGCTCTATGTATAGAGCCATGAATCGCCTCTCAACCCACCTCCTTCTCCCCTCATCTGGCCCTTCATCTGCTAATGGCCTGAAGCCAACTGTCTTGCTGAGGCTTGCCAATGACATCATTCCCCTCATTATCAGCTGCTGCTCCGAAGCCTGGAGCTCACCAGAGTCAACCAGAACAAAAGGCTGACTCCCAGTATAAAGGGGGTGGCACATTGAGAAATATTTCTACTCTACATGTTGAATGCAGCTCTCCTACAGACTGAGTAAAACAAGTCAGAGCTACAGTCTCAGAATGCATCTGAAATGCAAATGAACTAGTCCATGCATTTGTTACTTCAAGGCTGGACTATTGTAATTCCTATCGTAATTGTAAGTCCACAAGCATTCAGCTGATCCAACATGCTGCAGCCAGAGTTCTGATGAAAACTGAAAATAAAGATCATATCCTCCTGGCTTCTCTTCATTGGTTTGCTGTTAAATCCAGAATATAATTTAAAATCCTCCTGCTCACATATAAAGCCCTAAATGGCCAAGCTTAATCTTACTGTGCAGGTTATGGATATAGTGCCATCATTACCAGGACTCTGTAAGTCAGAGTCTATTTAATGGGATTCTGACTCAAGTGCCCTGTTCCCAACGGAGATGGATAACAGGAGCAGCTTCTGATTGGGGCTCTGCTGAACATGACCTGCTGTGGCAGAGTTTGAGCCATGTGGGTCGGGTGTGTTGGAGGAAGGACCCATCCTGAAAATGCAGGACAGTTCCTCTAGAGATCTGGACTTGGAGTTTTATTGTTAATATAGATAATGTCAGGATAGGCTTTAAAAGGTTTCGCTATACCGCAGATTTAGAAGTTTTAACACTTTTCTTAATTACATTTAAGCAGAAACAGCATCTCAGTTATTTGAAAACAAGAAATAAATGATGATTCTAAGGACAGGCCTGTTCCAATATTTTAGAAAGTTATAAAGGTACACAAAGAACATGTGTGTCAAAATGTTAAGATAGTAAATCATGACAAAGTCAAGGTAAAGACTACTGACATTTCCTCAACTTTTCTGACTTTCAAAATAAAAAGCTATTCATGCATGCCCACTCATTGCTTAGGCTAATGCGTCTTTGTATAAGCAGACATTTTGGTTTGGCTGTTTCAGTAACTAGTGACATCAGCTGCTAATATCACCATTTCCGCCACTGTTTCAGGTGCCATAGAAGCTACCAGTTGTTTCTGTTTAGAATTGGCCTCTTGGCTTTAATTACAGTTAACATCCTCCAGTTTCCTTATTAGACACGTATCTGTGATAGAGCTGCATGTATCCAGTAACACTTGAGGTTACAGCTGATCCTATTTCACTTACATCATTAAAAATGATGTTTTATCTATTCAACATTTAAATAACCAAAATTTTGTGGCTTTTGGTTTTCCAATATATTTGTGCAGGTCTTTGCAGGGGAAACAGCTTTTACATTTTTCAATAATCGTGCATTATGCTCTATAATCTCCCAACAGTCCCTGGTCTATTTACATGTTATTGTTACTGTTGATATGAAAATCTAAGGATACAGAAACACCGTAATAAATCAGCTTTTTTTTTTATATTTAAACAAATCACTAATCCTGATATTACATATAAATCCTCCTTGTTAGTTGCACAGGAATAAATGACACAGACACAGCAATGCCAAGATAGCGGCAGCAGAGCGTCTGAATAGAGAAGGACATTGCTTTATTGCGGCAGAGCACATGTTTGTTAATGCAGACTTCCTGCTCACCTTTAAAGAAGACGAACCTGCCGTCATGTCTCTCGTAAGCAGCATCGATGTCCCCTGGGAGACCCCTCCAGAAGTGTCCGATGGGCATGGGGTAGTTGTCGAGGACCCTGTTCCTGCGCACCCTCCAGAACCACCGACCCTGCAGGGTTCAACAGTGTTCATGTCGGAATGAGTTCTTATATAAAATCCTCCTTCTTACATGTAAAGCCATAAATACCAGGCACCATCTGATTTCAACAGATCTGATTGTTCCTTATGTTCCTAACAGAGCACTTCGCTCTCAATCTGCAGGTTTACTAGTGGTTCCTAGAATTTCTAAAAGTAGAATGGGAGGCAGATCTTTTAGTTCTCAGGCTCCTCTCCTGTGGAACCAACTACCAGTTTTAGTCCGTGAGGCAGACACCCTGTCTACTTTTAAGGCTAGGCTTAAAACTTTCATTTCTGATAAAGTATATAGTTAGAGTGGCTCAGGTTATCCTGAGCTATCTCTATAGTTATGCTGCTATAGGCTTAGACTGCTGGAGGACTTAGGGACCCCTTTTTCATCATTCTGCTTCATTCTATCTCTATTCTCCCACTCTGCAGAATCTGTTAGTTCAATCTCTAAAGTTCTGCTCTCTCTGCTTTTTCTCATAGTAGCTTCATCTGGTCTGTTCCTGTTTGGCTGTGACTCCATCCTGGAGAGAAATATCAGCTGTGCTGCTGCCATCAACACCTTTGAACATTTAGTCAGATTGGATGATATGATAGGAAAGTGACCTGAGATAACATGTGTTGTTAATTACAGCTATAGAAAAAACAGAATTTAATTGAATTGCTAAAAAAAAGCATTTCATTTCCAATAGACCTAATTGGATTCAATCTAAAGTATGGGATCCTATATTTTTTTTATTAAACATCCTATTTTTTCTCCCACTAAGGCCTTGCCAGGGTCTCCGGCAGTCTACAGGTGAGAGGCGGGATACACAATGAACAGGTCGCTAGTCTGTCGCATTGACAGCCATTCACGCACACACTCACGCCTAAGGAGAGTTTATAGAAGCCAATTAACCCAACAGTGATGTTTTTTGACTGTGGGAGGAAGCCTAAGTACCCAGAGAGAACCCACGTTTGCATAGCGTGGGTTCTCATGGGTAGCGCAAACTCCAGGAATCGAACCCAGAACCTTCTTGCTGCAAGGCAACGGTGCTACAAACTACACCCCTGTTCAGCCCCTAAAGTTTGTCAAACAAAAAACAAAAAAAATAAAACCCTTGGCTGTGTTTAAAGAGGCATTACTGAATTTTATGATGACGTATCATTAGAAAATTCTGCCACTTCTGGCAAAAGTGCACAACTGCAGTCTCTTCTGCTCGTTCTCATAGCTCACTTTTTTCTCAACAAGGTTTTGTTTGTTTTAACATTTTTTCAAATTACATGGAGTTGTCATTAGTGTCTGACTTGGATGCTGGTCGCTTCTTAGTATCAAAAAATCCATCTTTAATATTAACCTTTGATTGTTTGCAAGGTCGGACCCATTTAACACGGACGTGCTCTGTAGTCCAGTTGTAAAAAAAAAAAGAAGGGGGATTGTGGCATACATAGCCTAATTAATAAAGTCTATTTATCTAAAGCAATATGCATGGTATGGTTGTTGCATGTCAGGTACGACGATTATTGACCTTGACCACGGTACCTTACAGTAGAACTGCAGTCAGTCCCTGGACTGGCATGGCAATCACTGCTCCTATACAGTTAGGGAAAAACACAGAGGACAATTCTCCACTGGGATCAGCTTCACAGTCATGCTAGGCCACTTATTTGATTTTATTTATTTTGCTGAGGCTTAAGGGTGTAAATAATAATCGTTTTGTATCGATCCAACAGCCGACAATCCGATGCATCGACACGTCCGCAAGAGAATCGATTCATTTTATATATTATCCATTTTCTCCTGGGCGTAATTCTGACTCCCGTGCTGCGGTGGCGCTAAACCTACTTTGCCCTCTTACCTCGCTTCCTGGCTATACTCTTGCAGCAGTGTGGTGCAGTAAGTAAAATTTTTGATTTATGCTCAATATGGTGGTGGTCTGCGCTATACGCTGTGGGTCTAGATACGGCCGATGCGGAGAGGTAGTGGGGGCGAGTTTGTCCGACAACGGAGGGACATGACGGCGAAAAAGAGCGGTGATCCAGGTGGAAAAAGGGTCTCAGCGTTCTCGCGCACCTCGCTCTTCTAGCTGGTCCAACTTCACAAGTTGGACCAGGAACTTATGACCTCAAATAAATGACGGAAAATAGGCTACAAATCTTGATAGATGCATCAACGATTAACTATCGAGCCTGATCATCAAACTACAGGGTAAAATAAAAAGGTTAGTTTAATAAAAACTTAGATAAGTCTCCTAAAATTAGACAAACAAAGACCAATAAGTAGGAATTATTGGTTCACTGGTCTCACACCCATGATAAACAGTTCTAATTCCAGTAGACCTGAGGTCCCCACAAGCCCGTCTGCTAATTTATATGTGATGAGTCAGTGGGAGCCCTTCTTCATCTGGATAATGTAACAGTGAAAAACAAGACTGCTTCTTTCTGGCAAGCACACTTTGTTTCGTCCTTCACAGAGGACACACAGGCAGGCGGGGCTCTGCTCGGTGTGCACCAGAACCGACTGGAGATGATCAGGAGACAAACGGATGAGCAAACACTGGCCTTAAGAAGTCAACTGTCCATATAATCCATATAACTACAATCCAGTGAATATGTATAATACTTGCAGCTGTGCCCTGCTGGACAGCTAGCACAAAGATGATATTACACTTCCATATTTGATTGTCTGAAAATCACTAGTCATAAAAAAACTCAATAGTCATCATGTGAAAAGTTTAATAGCACCACTGGTGACTCGATTCAGTGAAGTCTAGAACTGAGTGTTGAGCAGCTACCAGAGCATATAATCTGACTGAGTGAGCAGCTCATGTCAGGCCTGTGTTACTTTTTCAGCAGCATTCTAAGCCATCAAAACAGGATTATGCCTGCATGTTTATGCAATCTGTTTAAATCATTGCAGTTTATTTCTGTAGCGCCATTTCACAACACATGGCAAATCAGGTCCCTTTATAGATCCAGTTCAACCAGATCATCAGTCAGATTGGTTTCGTCTATGGAAAACCATCTGACTCTAAATCTAGGGCTAGGTTCACACACAGCAGCCTGAAGTGACCAAAATCAGATTATGTTGTCCATATGCGACTTGTATATGATCTTTTCATGATACTCTGAACAACACAGATCCCATTTTTTCCAATGCGACCCAGGCCACTCAGCTATGTGGTCCTGATTCCGATACCTGTGTCTGAACAGCCTGGTCACATTCATCTGAATTGTACGCTACTAATACTATTCTGCGTCTTGTTGCGCAGAAGCGGCAAGAAAAACAACAAACATGGCGGACGATGATGCGGAAAGCAGCATTTATATTGAAAAGATTGCTGGATACGCTCTGGCATCCATGTTTACTTCCATAAAACAGCGCAAGCTGGCTTGTGACGTAATTACGTCCTCTACTGCGCATGCGGAATACTTGCATTGTATGAACACAGTTAATACAGGAGATCACATACAAGTTGCATATATTTGGAAATGTGAACAGCAACACAAAAAAATCGGGTTTCACAAAAAAATTGTAATTGAGCATTAAGGCCTGTAGTATGAACTTAGCCTAGATCTCAATAAATATCTGTTAGAACATAATGATTGGTTCCCCTGGTGATGTCTGATGTTCACCAGGTTAAATTTCAATGACTGGATGAAAACCTTAACCTTATGCCTTTAGGACCGTATGTCCAACAACCAGATGTTGGGTCCCAGGTGCCCTGCTCTGCATCAAACACACCTTCCTTCTCGGATAAGACGGTCATCTCTGTGTTGGAAGAGCAGGGAGAGTCTTTGGAGAAGTTAAATTTCTTAAGCCCTGTCATCAAGCTTCTATTGAGCTCTTTCATCGTTTTATTTTTCAGTGCTTCCCTGGGAAAGTAGGAATGCCAGTTGAACACAGATAAGTGGAGCCACTGATACTGCTAAGGGATGCCTCATCTGACACACAGTATTACTCATGCAGTACTGCTGCACTCAGACTAACCAAATAAGTCCTGCACATATGAAAATACAGCAGAGTGTTGCAGGAATGTCAGTAAACTCTGAAACCAATTTAAAGGCTTCCTGTGTCAACGGCCATCACTGTTACCTTTTCAATACTGATGCATAATGACCAACAACCACAGGACAAAAGCTCAGTAATGTCTGGTGCCTTTGTATGTTTTTTAGATGCTGCAAACACCTGAATCGCCCACAAACCTTTTTAACTGTGCAGTATCTCATTAAAGAGCACCAGACCCGCTGTTTTATGATCCACAAAGCCCTGATTGAAAACAGTCCACAGCTTTCTTCTGAACCCGCTTCTAAAGAGGAGGAGAAGTGATGCAGATGAAACATGCTGTCTGAACCAAACTAAAGGCATTTACCTTAAAAACAAACATCTCTCCACGCAGCATAGCAACAGTGTCGAAGTTCCCTTCACAGATGTTGGGCCCGTAGTGATCGGGTCTGTCGGTGGTTCTGGGCCGGTCGGGATGTCGGGGGGGAGTCTGAGGTGGTCTGGGCTCCGGGCGACGAGCTGGCATAGTGGGCAGGGCCTGAGTGGGGCCGCTGTCAGGCTGACCTGTGGAGAGTTCACAGAGATGAGCATCAGGTCTGTTCATTGAATCAGAGATCACAGCTTAGACTTTTTTTAGTTTTTATTGAAAGTGATAAAAATATAGAGAAACACTTGCATTGCTTCTTTTTCTCTAACACAGAACAGATAACACCACCTCCCTCTCCCCACCCTCAACACACCCTGACTGAACCTGAATAGTTATATAAATACAAGTCAAATAACAAGTATAGGCTTGCACAGAAAAAAATTTAAGTCAGATCAAGTCTGAAGCCATGTCTAGCTACAGCCTAAATTCTGTGGGGTTGGCTACTCCAGTATACTACCAAATACAGTCATTGATTAAGGCATGCTACTTTGGTAATTATCAAGTCCATTAAAATATGAGATTAAAGTTCCCCACACTGACAGAAACTTGTCAGAACCTATTATGGTGAATTTGATTTTCTCCAAGTGCCAGAACATCATCACATCTTGCAGCCACCATGCTGCAGTCGGTGGAGGGTTTCATTTCCAATAGACAAACTTTTATTGTCATTTTGTACACACAGTGTATACAAAGTGAAATTGGTTCAGTACAGCTCTCAAGACATTTCCATTTCTTAAAGTGCAGCAATGATAAAATGTAAACATGGTGATCAAAAGTTAACATAAGACTGAGATCTGATTTACAGTTTATTCAACAGTCTAATGGCAGTCGGTAAGAAGCTGTTGTTGTATCTGCTGGTCCTGCATCGAATGCTGTGAAGCCTCTTCCCAGAGGGCTTCAGGGAGAACAGTCCATGGCGGGGGGGTGAGGGGTCATTGATGACATTACGGGTCCTGGACACATAGCGCTGGGATGAAATGTCTTTTATGGAGGGAAGAGGAGACGCTGAAACCTCTTTGGTGGTTCTCTAAGAATAGGACGACTGCTACAACTTTCTCATAAAGTGATTTTTTTGGTTTAGAGTGGTGAAGAAAAAAAATGTTTGCTAGGATAATTAGTCCATAAATAATAATTTAATGGGTCCAAACTGTTTAAATATTTCTGGTTACTATGCCAACGTCAAGGTTGAGGGACTCTACAGCAATGTGAATCAGGCCGCTGAGACGGAGGAAAGGTTTCTGCTCAGCACTTTATTTCTCAGATGATTTTTATATATATGTTCATATATTCTTGTGCTGCTTCAAAGGTGTCAATAAGATGAGCAGATTTGGCTGCTGATACAGACACTCATAAGGTTCAGAATTGGTCGTGGTCTTAGGCGGACACGCCTTAGGAACAATCTTCAGAGTCATCTAGCAATCTTCAATACTCCTTTCCCATTGGCTGAAAAACCTGTTTAAACTCGAGGAGAATCGGCTTTTAGCGGCAGTGGGAACAGCTCATCGACGTGTGTCTACCCGGGGCAACGACTCAGAAAGCCACCAAAGTTAAGCCGGGCATACGCTGTACAAAATGTAGAAATGTTTAAAGGGAGCATCGCTTATATAAAGTATTTAGCAGCTGCTGTGGTTTATCTCCAGTAATATTGGAGATGTTAAACATCCTTATCAGCAGAAAGCATCAGCGGCTTTGACTGAGTTATAATGTAGTTTAAACCAAATAGATGATGAAGTAAAAACGTCAGACTATAAAGAGAAAACAAATATTTTAATCTATTACCATAGATCTGCTGGATGCCGAGTCGATCGTCGTCAGGCAGCTCAAAGTTCTCTGTCTCCATCCACTGATAAAAGGGAGCCATGATGGCCATGGGGTTACTGGAGTGCTCTAAGCCCAGGGCGTGTCCCAGTTCATGGACTGCCACCAGGAAGAGGTCGTTACCTGGATCAACACAAAACAAGTGTCATCAAAGAACTGAATCATCATACACTGAAAGGAAAACCTCTGGGTTTTTTACAAACACCTTCACTCATAGATATCCATAATAAAGGCTAGATGTCTTACGGCGGAGTTTCAAACGTCATCACCGGCGGCCATCTTACCTCAGGCAGGCTTTCTGTTGTGCTCTGTGGTACCTAATGTAAGGTGAGTGATCAGCACGAACACAAATACTCTTATCTCACTGAATTCTTGACGGATTTACAAACAGTTTAGTTTCTAACAAACATTATGAACGTGGCTATTATTCTTGATGCTTGAACATGTCGAAATTGCAGATTTTCTTGTCGAAAAATGACTTAATCATGCAGCATAGTTGTGCATCACGGCTACTTGCGCAAGTTATCAAGGCTGAGACTATTAGTCAATTATATAAATTACAATCTTTGTGGATGTGGTTGTAGTTATTAGTTGGCTAATAACAATAAACTGAGTGTTTTTGTATTTTCATTATTAGCCTAACGTTAGCTGACTAATAACAAGAAGCTGCGAAGTGAGACCTAACGTTAGTAAGTTAGCAGCTAACGTTACAGTTTAGCTAGCTGCTAACGTTAACCAGCAACTTTACATCAGTGGAAGAGGCAGAATTTAACATGATTTCCAATCGATTTGGTCTGTCAACACATCTTACATTATGTTACAGGAATTTGCTGGGTTTATTAAAAGGAAGATGCCAGACTTTTGCTATGACATAATAGTATTACAAGATTGTTGTTGACTTAAAGCTTTTATAAGTTTGTATTAGTTTCATTTGGACAACTTAAAGATGGTGTTGTGCCAAACATTTTCAACTTTCCAGCTCATCTTCAAAGGGCATGTGTATCATTGAAATTTAATCACATATTGATATACCAATCTTATACACTGTGAATTGTTGTTGGTCACTTTTGTTTTTGTTTCTGCAGGTTATATAATCTGTAAGCAGGAGGAGAAGATCTTCCATCCCCGTTTGCTGACATTCCTGCACTAGTACATGACCACAGCTACCTTCCTGTCCGCTTTGATGGCCTTGTGGACAACGGTCTCTTGTACATTATACAGAAGCTCAATAAAACCTTCCTTTTCAAAGGGCATTAGCCAAGCTATGTTTTTTGGGTCATTTTTTAAATCTCTGTCTTCCATGTGTATACCATCACAGTAGTGTAGGTGGGGATTTCAACATGCTATATATACTTGTGAAGGGGACTATTGTACCAATTTTAATAGCAAATAAATGTCACTTTTATAATGGTTTAAAAATAGGAACTTTTGTGTAATTACCCCTGATATATAATCCGAATAGTCTACATGAAACTTCAAAGTGTTACCTTTAATTTGAAACCTGGATTATGCTGCTACACCAAGAGGTTGCCACACAATAAGCCTTTTCTGTCAGTATTTCATATTTTATTATAACAATAACATTCATATTATAAAAGTATGTATGTAAATATAAATAAATTAGGACTGTGAAATAATTAATCACACCCAAATAAAAGTGTTTATTTATATATATATATATATATATATATATATATATATATATATATATATATATATATATATATATATATATATATATATATATATATATATATATTTATATATACATACATATTTATATATATATATATATATACATACATATTTATATATATATATATATATATATATATATATACACATATTAAAATATATATATATATATATAAATATGTATATATACATATTTATATATATATACATATTTATATATATATATATATATATATATATATATATATATATATATATATATATATATATACATAATTTTATTTATATATATACATATTTATACAGATATATACACATATTTATATATATAGGTATCTATATCTATATAGATATCTATATAGATATCTATAAATATATCTATATATCATGTTGCCATTCAGTACACTGAGTTTTATTAGCATATATTGATTTAACATAAATACCTTGTGCATGTGTATATTTATTGCACCTGTATGTTCTATTCAATGTTCTTTTCATATGAAATACCATGGTTATAATTATTCATAAGTGTGCAGTATCATAACTACATGTCTGACTTTTGTTTAACAAACCAAACAATTAGACAATTCAGGAAGTTATGGTTATTTAAGTACATGCGCCTTTAAAACACAATGTTACGAATGAGTGAGCTGCCTGTGGCAAGATGGCTGCCACGTGCGGACGTCGACCCCCATTGGCCAGCAGCGCGGACGAGACATCTAGCCTTTATTATGGATATCTATGCCTTCACTACTGTAGCTGTTGCGGCGAACGCCCCCTTTGTTTACATCAGCTGTTTGAGCGTGAGCACGCAGCTTACCTGTGTGCAATCAATCCGTCAATCAAAAGAAGGTGAGACAAACTTCCTAGTTTGAGCAGAGGATGGCAGCATGAAATAAAAAGCCTGCCGTTTATTCGGGCAGTGGAAGAAGCTGTGCAAAGTTTGCATTGAGGAAGCGAAGGACTGAACAGACAGCTGGTAAGCTTCCGTTTAATCCTGTTGTGAATAGAATGTATGATGCCACTGATGAGGCATTGAGACGTGCTGGAAATGTTTGTTTGTAGTGTTGTTAAGCTTATAAATACTCACACAGTGCATCATGAATGGCTTATAAGGCTTCTTGAAGCTTTGCTTTATTAAGTCGGAGAAATGCTGGTGTAACTTTGTTCAGTGATTTGTTTAACGTTGTGGTTCAAACGGTCCAACTTAATGTGCTTGTGTTGCACGGGTGATTTTTGCATCTTTCTTCTGTGTGATTAAAATGGACTTCTAGTATTCCACAGTTAAAATGAAATATTTAAAACAAACTAAAAATCACTCACTGGTTATTTACTATTGCTATTTAGGAATTCATGTAATCTATGGGGTTAAATAACCTGCATAAATCCACCTCCGTTGTTAAAATGCTTTAATACTTTTTTTTGATGCATTTTTTTATGACAATTAGAAACTAAATGGTCTTAATTTAACTAAAAACATAGTCTATTTTCATAAATATATTTAATGATCCATTTCTCAGAAGTATTACAATGTGCAATATGGTAAATGCTTTTTTGGTTTCATTTCTTTTAAAGGTTTTTCACCTGCTTAATTAAATGATTATCTGTAAACAACACAAGAAGAAAAGGAAAAAGGAAAAGATGAAACAACAGTTTGGTCATTGAGTGGAATCCAGTTTGATGTTCAGCTTAAGCTGAACATCAAGCACAGCAAAGATTGAATCACTTGACAGTAGCTTTTGGGACAAAAAGAAAAAATGAAACAGAAGTCACCTATAAGAACTACTGCTCCTCTCCAAGACAAAGAAAGAAGCAGAGTCAAAGACAGAATGGCCCCCTGCAGCAGGGAACCTTGCTTTCTGTAAACGGCAGGTTTATCTCCTCAAACATGATCCTGTAGGTTCATATCTGAAGCAAAAACACAGCCTGCTCTTTGTTCATGAACCAGAATTAACTTTGAACTTGCAAAGTGTAAAGCTTGACCCACGAAGTGCGGCCCTGATTCCTCAGATTAGTGCCAGTGACATCACTATTGGAGAAAACGTGAGCTGAGGGAAGATTATCTGTTCATTTCCTACACAGAGAGGCCAACAGCGTTCTTCCTTCCCCACCTTGTGTACTTTCTCAGTCACACGGCCTGTGGCCGCTAGGATACAACAAACACCTCAGGGAGGAACACAGCAGTGGAAAATGTAAGATTGCTGAAGAAAGAGGGTGTCTGGGGAAGATAAAGAGGCCATTGTAGGTAACCGTGACGACCCTTCTGCTGGACTGACAAAGACAAAGCATTGCCAGTGGAGCTAGAGCTGCTCCCAGTTCACTGCTTCCTAAATGTTTTAGATTAGCACAATGATTTTAGTATTAAACAAAGATAATACTAAATGGTGCTGAGGCCCAATTACTGCCTGTCCTGTATGAACAATAACCTTGTTTGAACCCTAATAATTAGACACTCCATTTTAAATCTCTGCATATCTGATACTGCAGTGCTGTCAGTAGATGTGTAAATATTAGAATATGTGTTACTGATGAAGAGTAAATATAGGGACATAGGGACCCCCTTTTTCATCATTCTGCTTCATCCTCTGACATGGGAGCTGGCTCGGAGCTCGTCTGCCTGGCTGCATCTTTCCTGGACGGAGCAGCGTGCGGAGCTGGTTGACAGTTGCCTTTTGTATCTATGCTTCTTTTTCTATGTCTGCTTCTGTCTCCTTGAACCCCAGTCGGCCTCAGCAGATGGCCGCTCACACTGAGCCTGGTTCTGCTGGAGGTTTCTTTCTGTTCAAAGGGAGTTTTTCCTCTCCACTGTCGCTACAAGCATGCTTAGTGTGAGGGATTGCTGAAGAGTCAATGAGTCGATGCAATCAGCTGATTTTCCTTAGATAGAAAACTTTGAATCAATCTGACTGTATGATCAGGTGAACTGTAAAGTGACCTGAGGTGAGATGATGTGAATTTGACCTGTAGAAATAAACTGAATTAAACAGAAATAAATTCAGTTCTATTCAGTTTATTTCTACAACTCAAATTCACGTCATTTTACAGAGACCTGAAATGTCTTAAAATCATGCTTTCAGGGTTCCTACAGCATAAGGCAAGTTAAATTCAAGACTTTTTAACTTTTTAATGCCACTTGAAATAAAAATTTAAGACCAAATTCACAAGAAAAACAAGAAAAACCTGCTTGCGACAACTTAACCCAGAGGTTTATTTTAACATAAACCACTGCACTAATGTTTCAGATTTTGAAAAGCTTCCCATACAAGAAGAAAGCTAAAAACACACAAATGACAGATATATTTGAACAATTATTTAACTGAATTCACAAACTTTGTTTTAGCAGAGAACAAAACAACTCAGTTTTAAAGTCTTTTTTGCAGCTATTTTTCTTTGTATGGTTTTCTTAGTATGTTTGATTTGGTGATAAG